ATTCCTCTGATCAGTTTGTTCAGTTTATGTGGGGGGTGCCAAGCCTTTCTTTGGGACAGTAGTGTATGCAGCAAATGACGACACTCTCAGACATGTTCTATATAATGATTTAAGATGGATCAGAATCACTGCTACTCCCTGTATAGTGATGGGATATTTTAATGATATTAGGAATCCTTCTGAAGCTTCAAATTCCCCTAGAGTTGATGCATCTATGACCTGCTTTGATCAATGGATTACTAACTTAGAGTTGGAGGAGCACCAGACCACTGGTCCTTGGTTTACCTGGATAAACAAACAGGCAGCAAACCCTATTGCGAAGCGTTTGGATAGAGTTTTGGTTAACTTCCCATGGTTGGATTCAATTAAGGATAGTAAGGTTCACTTGCAAGCTCTAGGAGCATCAGATCATTGTCCCATGTATGTTGACACTGATGCTGAATTGAGGTCGATTCCAAAGCAGTTTAAATTCTTTAAATTCTGGATTCAACATTCAAAATTTGACGAGTTACTGGAAGAGGCCTGGAGAAGTAATGTTACTGGACATCCATTGATTAGAGTGAGTCTGAAACTAAAGAATCTAAAAAATCTTTTAAGGAAGCTGAATAGAGAATAGTTCTCATATTTGTCTGAAAGAGTAAAAGAGAAGGAAAGAGAGGTTAATGTCATTCAGCAGCAGGCTCTAAGTGCTCCAACCACAGATTTGTTTGAAGAAGAAAGAAAACTGGGATTGGAATTGAAGATACTGATGGATGTTGAGGAAACTTTTTACAAACAGAAATCTCGTGAGAACTAGCTCAAGACAGGAGATATGAACTCAGCTTTTTTTTCATCGTGCAGTGAGAGTAAAACAAAAGAGGAGTACTATCAGTGTTCTTAAGAATGAAGCAGGGGAAAAAGTCACTGATGTTGAGGAAATGGCTAAGATTGTAGTAAGGTTTTACGAGAAATTGTTAGGAGTTGAGGATCCAGAGGTTGTGGCTTATTCATATGAATACTATGATGCATTGTTGTGAAGGAAACTATCTGAGGAGCGGACTGATGGACTCTGTGACCCTTTCATTGATGAGCAAATAAAAGAAGTGATCTTTGCGATGGATGGTGATAAGAGTCCAGGTCCGGATGGATTCTCAGCAGCTTTTTTCCACTATGCCTGGCCTTTGATTGGTCCAGAGGTATGTTCAGCTATCAAATTCTGTTTTGAGCAGGATAGAGTTCCTAGGCCTATTAACTCAACTGTCTTGGCTTTGATTCCTAAAGTTGCTAATCCAGATGATATGAAAAGTTTTAGGCCAATTTCATGCTGCAATATACTATATAAATGCATCTCCAAGCTCATTGCAAATAGACTTAGTCCCATTCTCCCTTCCTTGATTAGCAAAAACCAAACAGCTTTTGTCAAGGGAAGGCTAATTGGAGAAAATATACTGTTAGCTCCTGAGTTAGTTAGCAAGTAACCAGAATATATCTCCTAGATGTGCTATTAAAATAGATTTGATGAAGGCATTTGATTCGGTTGACTGGAGATTTATTTTTCAAGTTCTGAGATGTATGAATGGCCCTGAGAGGTTTGTGAATTGGATCCAGATGTGTGTGGGAACTCCTATGCTTAGTGTTTGTTTTAATGGGGGGTTTAGTGGGGTATTTTCAAGCTAAGAAAGGGTTCGGGCAGGGAGATCCATTATCTCCTTACCTCTTTGCCATAGCAATGGAGGTATTCTCATGTCTTATTAATAAGTATGTTGTTGAGAGGAGTTTTCCATATCATCCTATGTGTAAAGGGGTGACCCTTACACACCTCTGTTTTGCTGATGACTTGCTGGTTTTCTCGGACGCTTCTAACTCTGGTATTCAGACATTACAGAATGTGTTGTCCCAGTTTAAGCTGATCTCTGGTCTTAAATCAAACCCGAGCAAATGTGAGATATATTTTGGGGGAATTGATAAGGATGAAAGTAAGATTAGAGCTGACAAATTTGGGTATCAACTGGGATCCTTCCCTTTTCGTTATTTGGGGGTTCTCCTCATCTCGGGGAAGCTGAGTCTAGCAGCTTGTAAACCTTTGATTGATAAACTGGTGGCTAAAGTTAGAAGTTGGCAGGCTAAGTCTCTTACTTATGCAGGACGTATTGAACTGGTTGGCTCGGTTCTTTATAGCCTGACACAATTTTGGATGTCTGTCTTTCTTATCCCAAAAGTTGTTATCAAAGAGGTGGAAAGAATTTGCAGTAACTTTGTCTGGGGGGTTGAAACAGGGGTAAAGCTCCGAGCAAATGTGGCCTGAAAATATCTCACTTTCCCCAAAAGGGAAGGGGGTTTGGGTTCCAGAGATCTAACTAGCTAGAATCAGGCATGCATGACGAGACACATTTGGTTGATTTTGCTGAAGGAGGGTTCGATTTGGGTAGCATGGATTAACAGATACAAGCTTAAGGAAAGGAGTTTCTGGACATATACTTGTTCTTCTGGTTCATGGAACTGGAGAAAGCTGCTAAAGCTTAGATATAAAGTTGGCTCTTTCATTTCCTTCCGAGATAATGAAATCCTAATGGATAACTCTCCCATGCCTCATTTTTCTATCAAGAGAGTTTGGAATCTGTTAAGGCCTACTGGAAGTGTTGTTAGTTGGTGGAAGCTGCTTTGGAAAGGTAGGGGTATTCCCAGGAATCGGATTCTTACCTGGCTAGTTATGAGAAACAATATCAACACAAAGGTGAAAATGCAGAATTGGGGGTATACAAGAGATTTGCAGTGATGTTTATGTAATTCAGTGACTGAGGATAGAGACCATATTTTTGTTCATTGTCTGGTTTCCAGGCAGCTCCATGTTTCTCTTTTTGGCAGGGTGCTTCATATTCCAAATGTGCTGAGCTGGGATGATGAAGTTAGCTGGGGTGCATTGCAGTTTAAGGCTCAAACTGAAATGGCTGAAGTGGGAAGAATTATTTGGCAAAGTTAGGTTAGCAATATCTGGAGAGAAAGATGTCGTCGTTTGTACGCTGGCAAGGCACTCTCCACTACTGCGCTGCTGAAACTAATCAAGAATGAAGTGGAAACTTTTCTGGGAAGTCATAGAGTTAGGCAATTTCGGGGTTAACTAGTGGTGACTTGTCTTAGAGGCTCTTGTTGTTTTTTATGCTTGTTTTGGTTAATATTACCTAGCTAACATGGTAGTTGTTAGCGCTTGCTTTTTTGATGAAATGAAACCCATCGATTCATAAAAATAAAATAAAACTTATTGCGTTTTACAAATCCGAATAATTTGGAATGTCTAAATTAAACAACCTCATAAAAATGGGTCAACTGATCATTCTTAAAAATATTGGGTAGCCATGATCATCAGATATATATGGATTTGAGTAAAATTACCAACAGGGAGAATCGACATCCGTTCTATTAACCGAATCCATGTAATTTACAGCATGGGCTATTATATTTTACACATATGTAACTCTTATGTTGGCATTTAGATCATTAAACGGTGCACGATGCAATTTTAATATAACAATTTAATCATGTCAAATGGTATTACCACGTGTTGGGCTTGGACATCGACAAATTATTCGACCTTTACAAACACAAAAAACAAAATGTGCAGTAATATCTGACAATAAGGAGCATCAAAATGTTTTTTCACACAACTTTTAGGAGTCGATTGCCTGGCATATGTTGGATTTTTATGGTTTGATTTGAGTTTGTAACCATACTCATAGAAAAATTATATTATTTTACTTTATCTTAATATATTTGAGGATATAATACCTTAAATTAATCTTTTGGCATAAAAGTCCAAAAAAATGGCGATTGGACGAGGTGACTTGTAAGGCAATGAATTTTTTTTTTGTATTTGCAAATGTTTTTTTACATAAAAACTTTGTGGGCAATAAAATATAGAAAAACAAAAAAGAGATTATTCAAATGCAAGAAAAGGAGGAGGCGTCAAGTGATATTGGAGACCAATGTCACTAACAGAGATGAAGACCTACTACTGGCGCAGATGATGATGTTGTATGCAAAGAAGCAAAAAGAAAACGTGCAGTAATATCTGACGATGATGACTAAATAGAAGGGTTCTTTCACAAAACTTTTAGGAGTCGAATCCTTGGTATATGGTGTCTTTCATTTTTCGTAAAACAATTATACTCAATAATTTGTTGAGAATGTCAAAAACAATATAACGTGATCTTTGGATGGTTGAATAATTATAATAAATTGATTTCTTTTACGCTACTAAGAAATAAGAATGTTATATAATTACATAAACCTTTACTTTTAACATAAAACTGAACAAATGCAAATCTCACATACAAATTGCTACGACTATTTACGTGACTAACAAATGAATCCGGCCAACAGGCCGGGCCCGTGACTAGTAATCAATAAACAAGAGATTATGCTGGCTCTGATGCCATCCCACCGAAGGGATTCCCTCACACTAGAGAATCTTCTAATCCATTCAAGATATGCTACCATGGCATTCAAATCACTTATCCATCCAATCCATTCATCATTCAGACGAGTGAAAAGTAGGGATAGTGCTTAGTTACTCAGCCGGTTACTAAATTCAATTTCCGGAATTGAGAGCATTCCATGATTCTTTTTCTCGACGGGAAGAACAAGTTATGGTTTCTGAATGGCAAGATTACACCTCCATTAGAAGGTTCTCCTTTATTCAAGCCTTGGGATTGCAACAATAAGTTGCTGCTGAGTTGAATTCAGAGATTCGTGAATCCAACAATCTCAGAGAGTATCATGTTGTTACGTGCACGTTTTGTAGACTACGATTTTGGGAAAAAGATCGGAATAGGAAGAAGAAAATGGAGGAAAGATAGATTGGAAGAAGATAAGTTTTCTCCTTAGTGGCGAGAACGGAACCCCTAAACTTTTTCGAGGAAAGCCAACCTCCCAAATTAACACGTAGGTGTGTAAAACCCTTTTCTGATTATACTTGATTCCCCCTTTACTCTATACATCTGCTACTTTAAATAGACAACTAATAACCTACAAACTAGTAAATCAAACGGTACACCTAAAACAGTTATCACCTAAGTTCCCAAATTCTAGGCCATGACTAACCCCACTAATCACGTCCTAATCATCTCTAACAACCCATAATTAATTAACAATAATAAATTAAATAAATGCACATGACACATGTACATTGCTACATGACACACGCTAAAACTGTCACACTAGAAAATGGCCAAGTGTAACTGACTCGCTCGAATCTACACTACAATTAAACCCCAATTACAGCTCAAGTTTTTAAACTCTAATCGGGTGTAGTATAGGGAAAGTATCTATATATCGACCCGGGCCGGTCCGGCTACCCCTACTTTGGTTATTGAAATCATTATCTAGCGATAAAACTTTGGTTTAAAGGTTTGCCAATTTAAATGAAAGAAAGCAAAAGTAATTTGGTTTGAAAACTCGTTTTGTGGGAAAGTCACTTGGGTTTCGCTTCCCCCTAAACCGCTACTATGCCTTGGGATGGAACGATTGCCTTGGGCACGCTAATCATGAACCGCAAAGGAAAGCGTATGTGGTCGGGGATCACAGTCTCGATTGCAAGGATGAAAGGTTGTGTCACTCGACCCTCTCGGTTTAGACAATCAGTAATCGGCTTACTTCCTCACTCAACTCTAAGATCGGACGGTTTAACCACGATTAATCGACTTGTTCAATTCAATATTGAGGATTTCCCTAACTCAACCTAGTTTAGGTGGCTGGAAAGCGGAAGGAAAACCAACTCGATTGAGTCTCCCTAAAAAGGGGGATTTTCCTCTCTAAACTAGGTTAAGTTGGCAAATTAGATTACTAGCACCTAAACGCACAAACTTAGGGGTTCTAAGCACAATTATGCACAACCCTAGGATGTTAAGCACAAAATATGCACAACCCTAGGATGCTAAGCACAAAATATGCACAACCCCTAAGTTGCTAAGCACAAGCATGCCAAATCATGGTGAAAATACCTCAAACATTAAATTGAGCAATGCCTAGTATCAATCATTCAAACCACATACAAGAAAACTACATAGTAGGGTTAGGGTTTCACTACACCCAAGTGGGAGGAGGACTACTCCATGGAAGAAGTGGGAAGAACAAGGGAGAAAAAGGTGGAAATCATCTTGTGGGGATGCCTCCTCTCTTCTTCAACCTTGAGTTGGGATTTCCTTGGGGAAATCTTCCCAAACCCTAACTCCTTCTTCTCTATTGGTTTTGGTTCTCTCTCTAAAATGCAGAAGAAGTGTCTCTCACAAAAATTGGCTCCTCCTTCTCTTTCCTTGCAACTCAGCTTTTAAACACGGGAGGAGCTGAGTTCACGGCCTGAATTCTTGGTTGTGAACTCTTAAACGCGTCCATGAACTCATGCCTTGCGCCAAAACTCTCCGCATCGATCACGGAAGTTCACGGGCAACTGCTTGTGTTCACGGTCTTAGTGACCGTGAACTCGCCTTGCGTCAGTAACCTGGTTCTGGACGCCTTGCTCTTCACGGTCAACTACACTTCTTCACGGTCTTGCGCGACCGTGAATCCTGCCTTTAGTCGTGAACTTGCATTTTTTCACCTCTTCTCCCGGTTTTCGATCCTTTTCGCCAATCCTTCGACTCCGAGGCTGGTTCCACCTGTTAAATCCTGAAAAGCACTCAAAGACGCAGAAACTCGCGTAAAACCAATCTCTAATGAGCGAATTTGGAACAAACATCTAAGCAAACCGGGGGCAAAATATGTGCAATTAGGCCCGAATTAGTAACCACCGTTTAATGAGTAGTATAGCAGGTTTAGCTTTTGGTGGTGTTTTGCCGTCTCTTTGCTCTTCTGGATCTCATCCGGCCTCCGCTCCCGAACACCAACATTCACCACTATTCGGTAACATCGTTCTACTTACCTATTTTACGCCATTGAGGGCAATGTCGAGATTAAGTGTGGGGTGGGGGGGGGGGTAGTCCATTATGCATGCATGTATGTGTGAATGTTTGGTGTGATTTTTAATGCTTGAAGCCTAGTTGTCGCCCAAATTTTTAAAATTTGAGGGCTCCAAGCATAGCAACTTCTACATTTGCATGATCTTAGTGGCACTTGTGTTGTTTTGTTTTGAATCTCGTGGGTATTAGCATGATCTATGGATGGTTTGCTTGTGATTATGTGCAACCTATGATGATGATTGAGACTTGTATTAGGTTTGTGCATAGGTTCATTTCTCATATGTTTGTGAACCGATAAATGTTTTGAATTGATTACTTGCTTTTCATAGTTAGCTATGCATCGAGTTTAGGGAGTTAGAACGAATGATTGAGCACCCAAGTATCCATGTGAGACTTGTGCCGTTCGTTTCGTTCTTGTGTGATAGATCCCCTTTTATATGATGTGTAGCATTCACGTTGTTGCTAGCAAGGAAGATGGAGGCATAGGATTAGCCCACGAATCAAAAGTTGCCTGACTCGATCATATTATTCCTTAGTCAACCCTTTTGAGCAGTGCGTCTAAGGGTCATTCTCGTGTTAGGTAGCTCACGCTACTTGAACTTGATTGATTCAGATAGAACGACCCTTTTCTTTCTTCGTGTCTACACCGTTATCGAGTTACCTGTTGGGCTAACCATTAAGACATATGGGCCCCCTAAGCCCATGATCACTAAAAGCCCATAAGGCAAGAAAACCCAGCCCAGAAGGCTCGGGGGCGGTCTTTGTTTACATGATTGAAGACCGCTCGACACGTTCGCAACATAATCATGACAGGGCGCCCGACAGTGAGCATGTACGGCGCCCTGACAAACCCAGTACGGATACTGAGTCCTGACTATGCATTTAATAAAGGCCAGAGGCGTCCCTAGGACGCCCGACAGAGCATTAATTGTCCTCACTCCTATCCTCACTAGTATAAATACCCATCAATGGATCACATTTATGGTAACTTCCAACTACTCCATTCTCTCTCTTATTTACTATTATCTCAATTCTCTCTCTAACTTAGGCATTGAAGGAGGTCCCAGGATCCCCCTGAGGACCTTTCTTGTAGGGGTTCGAAGACCGCCTTCGACCATCGAAGCCGCCTGAGGTCGTTGGGACTCACAAAACCACTTGGTACGATCCAAGCACAAACATTTTGGCCCCCACCGTGGGGCCCTGCGACTTCGTTGCGAAAAAGATGGGAGACGATTTTGACACCTCTCAAAGGGATGACCGAGAACAACACCCTCTAAGGCCTATCGCCGAGAGGCGAAGATGAAGTCGAGCTCGAGGAGGTGGTCAAAAGTCAGGGCTTACATATCGCAAGCATGCAAGACGGCCTCTCTCAAATCCTCCAGCTCCTGAAGACCAAGGAAGACCCACCCGAGGGTTCAAGAGGAAGGACGCGCGAGGAGAAGCAAAAATCCATCCATGTCCCTGGCAGCCCTGCTCATGCAGAAGGTGGGGGACCGGAAACGGAAGATATGGATCTTAGCTTCCTCGAAGAGCATCTTCGGTCAACCTACGGGAAGCACAAAGCCCAAACGTTCTCCAAAACCCTCTGTCAAAGGAACTTTTCTAAACCCCAGTTCCGCCTAACTTCTCCTCCCTCGGAATACTAACCTATAGCGGGACTTCAGATCCCGCGGACCACCTTTGCGCTTTCATGCTAAAGAAGCAACTCATTAACATGTCAGACTCGGACTTGTACCATGCGTTCCCCGTCACCTTCAGTGGTCAATGCCGAACATGGTACACCTCCCTCCCAGAAGGGATAATCAAGAATTTTGAGCAATTCGCGTTGCTCTTCTCCACCAAGTTCGGGTCACAATGACGTCGCAAGCTCACCATCTCGGTGCTCATAAATTGCAGACAAAGGAAGGAAGAGTCGCTCGTGGAGTTCAACGACCGATGGAACGCGATCGCCTGCAAAGTAGAGGGCATGTCCTCAGTCGTAGCCGCCGACAATCTCAGGATCTCCACGACCAGGATCGAACTCAAGAGAACCCTGATAAAAAAGGAAGCCATGCTGACGTCATGGTCGGACTTGGATCAGTTGGTGCGGCGAGCAATCTTGCTCGAAGAAGCATTGGCGACCGACGACCGTAGCCAACAAGGTCGACCCAGGAGTATTCCCTCAGAGTGCGCAGACGCACGACGTGGGTGGCGCAACCCTGAATGGAAGTCGTATCACAATAGATACACGGAGCGCGATGGAAAAAGAGAAGTGTTCTCCACCGACTGAGAAAGGGGAAGAGAAAGAGGGGGCGGGAGGAAACAGGAGCCGCCTTCCGCCAAGGAGTTGCAGGAAGGAAAGAAGTGGTGCGACTGGCACCAAATCACTACCCACGACACCACCGAGTATAGGGAGTTCAAAGCGAGCCTGAGATATTTGGTTCCGGGAGACTTGCGGAGCCGCCTCGAAACCCGGTGTCCCCATCGAGACCACTCCCCGTAAATGCGGGAAGGATCCCGCAGCCCCGGAGTAGACAAAACAAGGAGGTCGAGAAAGGAAAGATCATGATCCTCTACCAGGAACAAGGCCGACTCACCCCAGAGGGAGTCTCCCGCCTACAGAACCCAGCGCAATGATGACAACGGAATGGAGGTCATAACCATCGCGGGGGGCAAGAAACGCCCAAGGTCGGAAGGGGACCGCATGTCCCACTGCCTCACCGTCCAACGTAGAGTGCCAACCGACGTTACCTTCCTACCAACCGAGTTGGTTAAAGAAGAAAATTCAAAGGACCCCTTGGTCATCTCTTTCAGAACCACCAAATCAAGGTCATCTGGGCCTTTATAGACAATGGGAGCTCCGCAGACATCCTTTTTTACTCATCTCTCAAAGGAATGAAAAGAGCCCGCAAGACCTCAACCCCTCCAACACCAGCTTGGTAGGGTTCTTAGGAACCAAGGTCCATGTCCTCGGATCAATCACGCTCAAAGTCACCATAGGCGAGGGCAGAGTCACAAAGACTAGACTAGCAGAATTCCATGTAGCAGACTGCCCCTCGGCTTACAATGCCATCTTGGGGCGCGGTTTCCTCGCGTTCTTTAAGCGATTGCATCCACACGCCACCAGATGTTGAAATTCCCTACTAGAGAACACACATGGAGTGATACCAAGAGACCATTGAACACCTTGAGGTGGACCTAGTCGATGCAAGCGGTGACATACCGCGTCCCGAGGCGGTCGAATGAGACGTAGCAGTCGCCTTAGATGAAGAGCGACTGGACAGAACATTGCGCATCTCTGCACATCTAGCCACAGAAGAGGCCCAAAAGCTACTTACGCTCCTCAGAGAGTTTCAAGACCTCTTCGCCTGGGGACCGGAAGACATGCCAGGGGTCCCCCGTAATGTCTCTGAACATTGGCTCTCCGTCAAACCTAAGGCGCGACCCATTCAACAGCGAAGAAGACACTTGTCGCTAGAGAAGAAAATGGCCCTTGAAGAGGAGGTGCGACGTCTACTCAAAGTCGGCTTTATACGGGAGGTACAATATCCCACATGGCTCTCAAACCCGGTTTTTGTACACAAAGCCGGAGGCGCATGGAGGATGTGTATTGACTTCACCAGCCTCAACGCATCATGTCCAAAGGACGCATATCCTCTTCCATGCATCGACCAACTCATTGATGGGACCTCCAATCACGAAGCCCTCAGCTTCATAGACATGTTCACTGACTACCACCAAATCAAAATGGCGGAGTGCGACCAAGAACTGACCGCCTTCATGACCCCCATGGAAACTTCTGCTACGTGGTCATGCCCTCCGAGTTGAAGAATGCGGGAGCAACCTATCAAAGGATGGTTGATGCGGTTTTCAAAGAGCAAATGGGAAGGAATGTGGAGGCCTATGTGGACGACGTCCTAGTCAAGAGCAATAAAGCTAGTGACCACTTATCCGACCTACGAGAGACCTTCGAGCTTTGCGAAGGAAGAACCCGAGGAACTTGGACGGAGGATGATAGCGGGCGAGGAACTTGTCCACCAGGTTGGCGAACATGGTGATCGAGCCTGGAGGTCGAGTGTCCAGCCACTCCTTGGCTTGCCCCTCCAGAGTAAATGTGAAGTACCTCAGCTGGATGGCATCGGCGAGAACCCCATTTTTCTTGATCCCATTGATGAGCTCATCGAATCGCCGCAGATGCGATCTAGGGCACTCCCCCCCTCTTTGCCACGGAACACCACCAAGCCACGCAACATGGTGATGACAGAGGTGATCACGTCAAAGTTATTGGCTGGAACTTGAGGGTGCTAGATGGGCGACCTCATGTCCGCGGCTCTGGAGGTCCAGTAATACCCCATGGTGTGCTCATCGGGGACAATCACATCGTTGTCTTGAGGTTCACCCATGTCTTCCTCCTGGTTGATCTGCAGTTGTGCTAGAGCCTCCTCCGCAGCCAGTCGCACCTTTAGAGCCCGCTTGAAGTTCCTAAAAGTCTGTTCAAGCTCTTGGTCTAATGGCAGTAAGTCTCCTGATTGGCTCCGGGTCATGCACTACCTGCACACAGAATGTAAACACAACCCGTGAAGGCTCAAAGGTGGAAGAGAGAGAATGCAGTAAAGAAAAATCTAGAGTAACAAACTTTCACGTTTCCACAATAACCTAGAAGTTCCCCGGCAACAGCACCAAAAACTTGACATGCTAAAACACAACACCAAACTGCGACCAAGTGTAATCGCAGTCCGGAAATGTACAATAGTGGCAAGTTCTATGATGACTCGGTATTTGCACATGGTTTCCCCTTTGTTTCTTGATTGTTTGAGCTTGACTTATTGCGTCTTTGTCATATTTTATGCTAGTTTGTGTTCCTTTGTCACATTTCAGGTCCTAGCACATAAAGTGAAGCATAGGCGCAAGTTTCAAATCAATCAGAGATCAATTGACGATTCGGGAGAAGAAACTCGGGCATGACCTGAAGAAGAATGGATTTCTACCTCACTTTATGGACAAATAATCATGCAAGCTTGTCATGAAAAGAAATAGGATGAGACTACGAGCGTCTGGGATCAAACAGGGACTGATTTGGAGTCCGGACGAGGGAGAAACGAAGCATTAAACAGAGGCTGAGCAAGCCACACGGGCATCCTGGAACTCCACACGGCCGTGTGGGTCGTGGCCTTGTGGAAATCACCGAGCCTTCACACGGGCAGCTGGGAAAGCCACACGGCCGTGTGGCCTGGCCGCGTGATCGGGAATTTCTGTTTAAAACTCGATTTTCAGCCAAAGGAAAGGGGGGAGCTGGGTTTTTGGTTCCCAAACACCCAAGGGACGAACCCTAGAGAGAGAGAGCGACTTGGGAACATTCTTGGAGCTATTTTGGAGGATTTCTTCGCCATTGGAGCTCTAGAATCAAACTTGGAGATGGAGATTGAAGATCTAGATCAGATTTCTGCAATCTCTCTCTTCTCTATGGAGTAACTTCCCTTCACTTAGGTTTTGAGGAACCCTAGTTCCATGTGTTAGGATCTTTCTTGTATGAAGTTTTGGATGCTATATTGTTTGATTATAATCGATTGAGGCATGATTTATTGAGTCAATTGAATCTTGATCAAATTCTCTTGATTTCTGCTTTAACCTATGATAGATAGAATCTGATTAGGTTAAGAGAGCTTCCTTGATTGATGGTGGTGAATTGGTTATACGAGAGTTAGTCAATCTACTGCTTTGTACTGGAATCCAATTCCGGTAGTGGAGTTCTGTGTTCATAGCCTCAGCTTTCTATCCCGGTGAAGGTTAGTCGCCTGCCGGGTAGTTGGACTGAGAGGGCTTGGTCAGCTTAAGAGATTCCAAGCTACTGTCGGATCTTCCGCAGTTTAATCAACAGTAGATCAACCAAAGGTAATTGCAACTTGGACCTAATTGAGGAGCTAGGGGGAATCATACCTAAGTGAGTTCACAACTTGTAATTAGTAGAGTAGTCAGTAGAGTAGTTTATAAATCAATCCTTAATCTAGTTTGCTAGATAATGAACTGAAGCTGAGTAATAGTAACTCTAGAGACCCGTAGATTCGATATTTATTACTTGTGGCACTATACTGCAGTCCCTTTCATTGGTTACACTTGGCCATTGTTAGGTGTTGTGTTTTAGCGTGTCATTCTATTTATCAACCCAGGGTCTAGATCTACTGCCTATTCCGTGATTATTTAGCAGACTAAGTTGAGTGATTGTGGTTTTAAGCAAAAGCAGTAAGAAAGCAGGAAATGGTTCGAAGTTCTTAAGCAGGGGAAGAGTCACTCAGGAATGAGTCCCCCTAGCTCCTTAGTTAGGTCAAAGTTGTAATTACCCTTGGTTGATTTACTGTTGATTAAACTGGAGAAGATCCGACAGTAGCTTGGAATCTCTTTTAAGCTGACCAAGCCCTCTCAAACAGAATAACTGGCAGGCGACTAGCCTTCACCGGGATAGACTGCTGAGGCAATAAACACAGAACTCCACTACTAGAATTGGTTTCCAGTACAAAGCAGTAAATCGATTAACTCTCGCATAACCAATCTACTACTACCGATTGATGGAGCTCTAACAACCTAATCAGATTCTATCTATCTCAGGTTGCAGTAGAAATCAAGAAAAGATGATAAGGCTTCAATTGACTCAATGAATCATGCATCAATCGATTAAAATCAATCAGTATATCAATCCAAAGTCATTACAATCAAGATTCCTAACACATGGAACTAGGGTTCTTCATACCCAAGTGAGAGAGAGTTCTACTCCATAGAGAGAGAGGAAAACAAAAATCAGAGCAGTCATACTCATAAAGATGGAGATAATCTGCTATGGGATGTCGATCTTCACTCCTGGGGATGCAATCTGGGCTTCAATGGTGAGAAATCCACTCCAAATAGCTCCTAGGGTTTGTTCTTCATGCTTTCTCTCTCTAAAACTCTGTTTTCTAGTCAATAAGTCGTGTGTTTTCTCCTTTGGCTCGAATCTGCCTCAAAAACCAGCTTCTGGGCAAAACACGGTTGAGGACACGACCGTGCTTTGCTTCTGCCCGCCCGTGTTTTGCCTCAAGTAAGGCAGACACGCCCGTGTCTCCTTCAAAACACGGTTGTGCCCCATGAGTGACACGACCGTGTTTTTCCTCCATGCAGCCCGTGTTTTAGTCCCTCAGCAGCCCTCTCAGACACGCTCTCGGCAGTAAAAACACGGCATGTGGAACACGACCGTGTTTCAGTCAGGGCTGCCCGTGTTTTGGCTCCAGCCTCACCAAACGACCTGAAACTTGCGCCTATGCCTCCCTTTACTCGCTAGGACCTGAGATATGACAAAACAACACAACCTAGCGTAAAATAGGCCAAGGAACCACAAATTCGAGCTAAAACGGTCAGGAACAAGGGTGCCAACATGTGCAAATACGACGCTACCAAATTCCCCCACACTTAACTGTTTGCTTGTCCCCAAGCAAACCAAGTCAAATATAAGGTAAGCTCACAACATTTTGACCATGCAAACATTGGGACAAATCATATTGGCACAAAAAACATGAATCATACTGGCTCTTAGTGATTAACACATGGACAACTTCAATAACAACCTGGACAACCACTACAGAGGACATTCGAGTGCAGTAAAATCGGGTAAAGGAAGAGTCTCCCTTCTGTTCACCAATCAACATAGATTCGACTCAACCACTTATTCAAGACAGTCACTGCATGCATCAAACTGAAGACATCAGAATCAAGACTGAGCCATCTAGGTCCTCACCGGGGTAAAGAGTGTAAAGAACAAGGAATTGAATCGCTCACTCTCGACCAGTGTAGTCAAAATCGCTCTTTAAAGCGTAAAACCGGACGATTTTACGTTTCTATGGTAGAAAAATGTTTCAAATCACTAATAAAATCGTTTTTCACTCAAAATTGTTCAAAAGCGTATGTAGTATCGTTAAAATCGGTGAAAACGGATAAAATCGCGTTTTCATACCGTTTTTGTACGATTCCAAGCAAATGAGAAAACTGTTGCCACTCACTCAAAACGACGTCGTTTTGAGTATTTTGGACCCAAAAAAAGGGGAAGGGGGTTATCGGGCTGTGGCTTCCAACCAATTCCCCCCGCAATCCCTAATTCCCTTTGTCTCCATCCTCCACCAGCACCCAACCTTCTCCAATCTCGCCGAAACCCTTCTCGAAGAACAACCCATCGTCGTCGCTGCGCGACAGGCCTTCCAGCGCAGGATCCACCATCGTCTTCCACCGAAGCTCTAGCACGTAGAACCTGTCGCACTTGCCTCCTCCAGCGCTTGTCGCACACTCACCGATCGCCCGTCGCCACTCGCCGGCGCCACACCAGGTAATCACTTGTTGTGGTTGTGTCATGTGTGGGTATTATTGTTCGACACAAGCTGAGGATTTTTTAGCAGTGAAGTTGGTGATTGCAGGAAAGTTGAGGTGCGGCAAGAGCTGCATGCTCTGGTGGACCAATTACTTGAGGCCTGGCATCAAACGTGATAACTTCTCCCTTCAAGAGGAACACATCATCCTTGAATTGCACAACCCTTGGGCAACATGGCATTTTTTGCTTCTAAACCTCTTACTCCCCTTTCCCTTGCCCACGACCATTTTATTATACTTTCTTTTCAAATTAAAAAAACCAAAACACATGACCATTTTGGCTTTTGATATTTAGAGATTGATTTTATTAAAAACATGGGTGCGAGAGAGGAGAAGAGGCTTATAAGCTACTTTAGGGAGTTTTGTGATTGTTCGGATTCACCAAAAATATGCTTGTTCGGATGTAGTGATTTTTTTATATACAACCTGTTGAGATGGTTTGAGAAAGTTGAGCACTTGAGATTTTGTGATTTACAACTCATATTGTTTATTTTATGTAGGATTTGCAATTTCAAGTATGTCGAGTGGGGGTACTAGTGCAAGCAATACTATATCAAATTCTAGAGTGAAGAGAAAAAAATGCACAGGGCAATTGCCTAGATCCCGGTTGGTAGCATGGTATAGATGTACTCAGATTATTAAACTCCTATGTCATTATGTAAACTTAAACCAGCTTGTGAGAATTTGGATTCTTATCTCGTTTGTGGGTTACGATTTATGTTTATGAACTAATGTTAAGATGTTATGAGTTTGTTCTAATTTAGACATGAACTGTAAGTATTGATTCTTTTTATCTAAACTTTGTGCACTCATATTTTACATAGTTTATGTCGTACTTAACAGATTTTTAACTATTATACATGATGCATTAAAAACTTACGCTTTTACGTTTTGATTCACCGCTTTTCGATTTTACCCCTTTTCCGCTTTTATGTAGAATCACGCTTTTGACTGCATTGCTCTCGACCAGTGGGGTCAGGACAATTTGATGCGGAAAATGGGCATGCTTATTCTCTCAATCCCTAACGTCTCTTCACCATGATGGCAGCCTCTAAATGTTAGAGTTCACATATTGGGTGTCATCACTAACTAATCTGGAGGTCTTAGACACAGGTTCAAATGACTGGCTAGGGTCTTGGACATAGGGAAAAAGCCTTTTAGGTGGTGGAAGTATTCATAGCACAAGGTTCCACAGTTCCAAACCCAACACATTCACAGCCAATCAAACCATTTACTTTTTTTCTGCTATTCTGCATTACTCAAATTCTTTAGGGCACAAGAGCGAAGGAGGTCACAATAATGTTAGTATTTCCAAGCCAAACTGCTAAGAAACACTAATTAATGAGCATGATTCAGATCTTTGGTAGTGGCTCTCTTTAGCTTTCGTTCATTTTTTCTGTTTTTTTTTTTGGTTATAGGTATAATATGCCCCTCTACTATGTGATTTTATCAAACATGCCCCTCTATTATTTTTTACATCAAACATGCCCCTGTACTTTGAAAAAGTTATCAAACATGCCCTTTTGTTAAAATTTCTATTGAAAAATTTTTCAATCATGGTTGAACCGAGATTTAGACGACCTGACATCGGCAAATGAGAGTGAAAATATTTGTTTTGTCCCCTGTTTTATTTCTTTGGGTCTCATCATAGTGAAATTATTAGAATTATTAGGCTATACAAAAGGACCAAAAAATTATAAAGTGAAATTATTAGGTATATTTTAGACATTTGTGTCGCCCTAACCAAAGTTCGACCGTGGTTAACGATTTTTGGATGAAAAATTTAACGGAAGGGCATGTTTGATAAATTTTCCAAAGTACAAGGGCATGTTTGATGTAAAAAATAGTAAAGGGGCATGTTTGATAAAATGACATAGTAGAGGGGCATATTATACCTATAACCCTTTTTTTTCTTGAGAGAACCACCACCTCTGCACATTTTTCACACACATGCCCAAATTTTAAGAACTACCTCCAACCCTCACATTATACTTAGCAGAAACAGCAGAGAACATGCAAAAACGACTCTGTGGAACCTCTAAGAGATGCAAAAGGGTGATTGTTCATTGTAGACCGAAAGAAAGAAAGTGACACGGCTCAAAGTGGCTGACTAGGGGGTATGACACACTAGGACAGTCAATTTGGCCGTGGGCTATTCCTATGCCTCCATCATCTTAGCTAATGATAATATGAATGCTACACATTAGGGAAGAGGGATCTATCGCACAAGAAAGAAACGAGCAGGCTCAAATCTCACATGGCTACCTATATGCTCTATCTCTCATTCTGATTCCCTGAACTAGATGCATAAACGACCGTCAAGAGCAATTGGTTAATTAGTCCCAGTTGGTAAGCAAACAGTTGAAAAACTGAACCCCTACACAACTCTACTGCCCGTCTCAGTCATCAATATAGGTTGTCTTAGTCACAATCCAGTCGTCATGTATCAATTCGAAAGCCATTTGAGTCACCAATTAGACCACAATGCCAATATGATCATGCATACATCAGTACTTGGATCCCTCAAATCGTAAGATCCGGACAGCGGACTAGGCCCTAAGCACACACAAATATGTTCCAATAAAGACAGAGCACCCCCCCCCCCCCCACACACACACACTTAAATGCGACAGTGTCCTCAATGGAGCAGAGGGAAGGGGAACGATGTTACCGTGAAATAAAGATCGGGAACGGGGACTGGAAGGCAGACCAATCAATGGCAGGGGGACTGGAAGTGGACCAGTCCAAGGGCACAGATCGAGAGGCTGGAAAACATACACACTAGATGAAAGAACCATAGTTCCATGTCTACAATCCGAAGGAAAAGGAAAACCAGAACCAACAACGACATGAAGTCTCAGTCTAGAAAAGAAATGAAGTACAGAACCCTCAAATCACCACTAGAGCACATCGCCTCCATCGCCTGTGGGAGGTGGATAGTCGTCCTCGTACCCCAGGGACTGCACGAATGGGTAGTGGACCGAGTTTTGGTCCAGGCCCTTATAGTGCATGATGTAGTGTTGGCCGGACATGATACGGCAGCCGCGGTCCCGCTCACAATCAAGGCGGGCGTGGATGTGCTCCTGGCCAGCTAGAATTAGCTCGTTCTAATGAGTAATGGCCGCCAACTGGTCGGTGACGATGACCACGGGGGCTGCAGAAGGACCGGGGGCAGCATCCGAAGGACCCGTGGGGGTCTGAGTACGGCGTGTAGGACGGCGAGGAACACAACGCCCACCAACAGCACTCGACTTTGTCCGATCGTCCCTGACAGAAGCATGCACAGACGGCCTGGGAAGACCCGCGATCAAGGTCATGCGCCCCTCACTCGCAAGCAGGTGCTGATGGCGAAGAACAGCCTCACTGAATGGTGTCGTCGTGCGGATCAAGGTCATGCCAGCAGTGTCGACCCCATAGTAGCGGGCCAAGGATGTGATGACCGGTCCACAGACAAGGTAACGATCCTGGCAGGCGCAAGCCTTGGAGATGGTGCACGCGACCACAGACCCAACCTCAATGGTGTCCTCTTCTAGACCCATCACATGCAGGAAGTACATCGTCTGAAGGGTGACCCGGTTGGCCGAGCCCCGACTCGGAGTATAGGACTGGGTCAGCAGGTGGTTTAGAATTCGGCACTCTAGACGGAGGAGGATGGCCCTCTTCTGGCTGGGTATGTACTCCTCCAACACGTGCTCAGGTTGGCAGATGCGCTCGAAGTATGCCTGATAGGGAAATTCAGTGGGATCTGCCTCGTTTATGACCAGTGCACCTTCGGCGGAGTCGGGGGAGTTCAGGCCAAGAGCAACAGACAGCTCCCAGTAACTGCCAGAGTGCGTAACCCCGCCGAGAGTGAACCGGATGGTGTCGGCGTGTTCAGCAGCCTTCCGCGGCGAATGGGAGTAGGAGGCATAGAACTCCCAAACTAGCTCCTAGTAGGTCGGTTTGGCGAGACCAAGGAGGCGCCGCCAACCATAAGCGCGGACCACTGCCTCCATCTGCTGGCGAGCGTGGAGCGCCTCGAACATGCCAAAATCCAGGTGCAGGTGCTCAGAGATGTGGCGGTTGCGGATGGTTCGCAACTGGTGGCACTGGGTGATGCTCAAGAGGTCCAAGTAGTCCTCCTTGAACCTGCACAACAACAGAGATCACAAATGCCACATAGCGAGGGATTAATGTTAGGCCAAACCACACCGGGAGCCCTCAAATCAGAAGATTTGGACAGTGGACTAGGCTCCCGGTGGAATAATCATACAATCCAATCCCAAACATCCATCCAGTCGGTAATTCACCAACCAAAATTCAACCAAGCATACAAGGCCACACGGCTAACATGAAAGTGGTAGGCCGACAAAATCAATTCAGGAGAACAATTACTTTAGGCCTACGTCCCTATCGACCTACCAAAACGATCTAAGTTCATGCCAAAATCTCAAGTTCTTCACCTATACCCTAGGTATCAATTCTCCAAAAATATTTCTAAGAGACACGAAAACAAACCCTGAGACTCAAGTAGATACCCAAGGGGATGAGAAGAAAAGAGCACAAGCCTTCCAAAATTGCCGGAAGTCTCGCCGGAGAACTCACCGCCCGCGACCCAACCTCCACCAAACAGGACCAAACTTCTGGGGAATGTGATCCCCGTCGCCCGGAGCGTAGTGGTAGTCTCGATTTTTAATTTGGAGGTTGGGGGAGGTAGATTTATTTGGCCGGAAAACCACTAGAGGAGAGGAGAAGGGCGATTTTCCGGCGAGGGTAGGAGGAGATATTTTTGAAAAAATGAGGGTTGATGAAAGAGTGGAGCAGATTTCGATATTTAAAGGGCGGGGGGGGGGGGAGTAAACATGGGCGGGGCGAAAATACGGCCGTGTTTTGTGTGTTCCGCGCCCGTGTTTTGACCTCCGAGAGCGTCTCCCCCAGGCAATAAAACACGGGCGGGTAACGGGGAAAACACGACGGTGTTTTCGACCCCTGGCGCCCGTGTTTTAACTGCCGAGGCTGCACAGGTGGGGATCCTAAAAAACGGGCGGGCAGGGGGAAAACACGGCCGTATTTTCAACCACTGGTGCCCGTGTTTTCACTGCCGAGGCTGCCTCTGCAAAATCTCAAAGTCAGTTTTTCAATCAACCAAACCACATTCATGCCCCGGCTCGAAAATTGCACAGCCATACCTGAAAACAGACTATCCCGGGCACAAAATACTTTCCAGACCAACTCAATTGACTCAAAGACTAAAAAACCGACAAAAATCGAAAATGAAAAAAAGGAAAGAAATGCAAACCGTGGTGGGGTTGCCTCCCCACAAGCACTTCTTAACCGTCTTTTAGGTGGACGCCAGTAGAGGAACTAAGGGTCCTCGAGTTTGATCAGCATCTCTGCGCGCTCGACATCACCTCCCAAGTACAACTTTAAGAGGTACTTGGGTGACCATCAAGGTTCCCGACCACCTCGAACGCAGCTTTCCCGGAAAGAGTTTCAGGCGTGCATTAAAGAGCAGAACACAATCCCCTACCTGAAACTCTTTCGGGCCCTTCAACCGAGCATCGCGGAGACGCTTGGTTTGCTCCTTGTAGAGCAGGGTGTTCTCGTAGGCGTGGGAACACCATTCCTCCAACTTCAGCAGCCGCAGCTTACGTTTAGTACCTGCAACACTCCAATCTAGGTTTAGTAGCTTAAGGGCCCAGAAGGCCTTGTGTTCTAGCTCTACTGGCAAATGACACGTCTTCCCATAGACAAGCATATAGGGTGAAGTACCAATCGGTTTTTTGTAGGTTGTCCTATATGCCCAGAGAGCATCATCGAGCTTGGTGGACCAATCCTTGTGGGATTGATCCACCGTCTTTTTAATTATTCGTTAAGCTCCCGGTTCGTCAGCTCGGCTTGACCATTCGTTTGGGGATGGTAAGCCACTGACACCTGATGCTTAACACCATAGCGGGAGAGGAGCTTAGTGAATTACCCTTGAAAATGGGTACCTCTATCACTTATGATGGTGCGAGGTGTCCCGAACCGGGAGAACATCTGCTTCAGAAATGAGCAGACCCACCTTGCATCATTGGTGAGCATGGCTTGAGCTTCTGCCCACCTCGAGACGTAGTCTACAACAACAAGTATGTACAGATTTCCAAAAGATGGAGGGAACGGGCCCATGAAATCGATGCCCCACACATCAGAAATTTCACAAACGATAGATATATGTTGGGGCATCTCATCCCGGGAAGAAATGTTACATGACCTCTAGCAGTGGTCGCACTGTCGTGCGAAGGTGTCTGCATCCTTGAAGAGTGAGGGCCAGTAGAAGCCCGACTGTAGCACCTTCCGCGCCGTGCTGTTCCCTCCATGGTGACCACCAGTTCCCTCGTGGCATTGAGACAGGATGTCTCCCATCTCGTGTTCTAGGACGCAGCGCCGGATCACGCCATCTGCTCCGATCTTGAAGAGGTAAGGATCCTCCCAAAAATAGTGCTTCATGTCGGAGAAGAACTTGCACTTTGCTTGAGAGTAGCCATCCCATTCGGTAGCTGCTTGCCCACCAGATAATTGGCAAAGTCAGAATACCAAGGGGTAACACTGTCCACCAAGGTCATCGCCAGCAATCGCTCACCCAGGAAGGAGGCATCAATCTCTTCCACGAAGTTGTCCACCAGAGGGGCTTCCAACCGTGATAGATGATCTGCAGCAACATTCTCGGCTCCCTTCTTGTCGCGGATCTCGATATCAAATTCCTGCAGAAGCAGGATCTAGCGGATGAGCCTAGGCTTTGCATTAGCCTTGCTCATCAGATAGAGAATCACTGAGTGATCTGTGTAGACCACCACATGGGAAAGCACCGGATACGGTCGGAACTTGTCAAATGCATACACCACAACGAGCAGCTCCTTTTCAATGATGGTGTAATTCTCATGTGCATCATTCAAGGTCTTCGACACGTAATAAATGGGCTGGAAGTGCTTCTCACATCTCTAACCCAGAATAGTTTTGACTGCATAGTCACTCGCATCGCACATCAGCTCAAAGGGAAGAGACCAGTCAGGAGTCACCATGATGGGTGCATGTGTAAGCTTCTACTTCAATGTCTCGAATGCAGCTGTGCACTCAGTAGTGAACTGAAATGGTGCATCCTACTCCAGCAGCTTGTTCAGAGGCAGGGCAATCTTTGAGAAATCCTTAATAAACCGCCTGTAGAAACCTGCATGACCTAGAAAGCTGCGGATCCCATAGTCTCTATCTTCGCGCGATCCACCTCAATCTTCTGCTTGGAGATCTTGTGCCCGAGCTCAATCACCTCACGAAACATAAAATGACACTTCTCCCAGTTGAGTGCCAAATTAGTCTCCTCGCACCTCTTCAGAACGAGTTCCAAGTTATGGAGATAATGAGTGAAGGAGTCTCCATAAAGCGAGAAGTCGTCCATGAAGACTTCCATGATCTCTCCAACCAGTCGGTCAAAGATCGCCAACATACATCTCTAGAAGGTCGCCGGTGCATTACATAACCCGAATGGAATCCTTCGGTAAGAAAAAGTACAGAAGGGGCAAGTAAATGTGGTCTTCGCCCGATCCTCTGGCGCAATGGGTATCTGGAAGTAGCCAGACATGCCATCCAGGAAGTAGTAGAACTCATGGCCAGCCAACCGCTGATCAATGAAAGGTAGGGGAAAATGGTCCTTCCTGGTGGCGTCTTTTAGGCGCTGGTAATCGATGCAGACTCTTCAGCCGGTCACGGTCCGCATCGGGATCAGCTCGTTCTTCTCATTCGAGACCACAGTCATCCTGCCTTTCTTCGGGACCACCTGGGTGGGGCTGACCCACTTGCTATCAGATATAGGAAAGATGATTACTACATCCATCAGCTTCGCAATCTCTACGCGGACCACTGCCTCCAAGTTAGGAGACAATCTCCGATGTGGCTGCCTGACTGGCTTAACCTCATCCTTCATCATAATTATGTGGGAGCGGAAGGATGTGTTAATGCCTCTGATGTCTTTTATCTTCCACGCCATGGCCCGGGCATACTTCTACAGCAGAGCCACCAATCTGCTCTTCTGCTCGGGTGTCAGATTCAAGTTAATAATGACCGAGAGCTTATTCCCCTCCCGGAGAAATGCATACTCCAGGTGAGCGGGGAGGGGTTTAAGCTCCAGCTCTGGTGGCTCCTCCAATGATGTGGCGATCCGGGGCGAGATAGGGATCGTCTTGAATGGTTTCTCTGGCCCCTCGATCGCATCTTCATCTAGCTCCACGAGCTGCTCCTCCAGCTGCAGCTCCCGCGATGCCTGTTCCCATAGCAAAAGACAACGCTCGAGGAAATCGTCAGTACCCTCACTCGTGATGGCGAGTGCGGTCTCAAAATCAGCAATAACATCGCAGTAATCGAGATCATCATGGAGCTGGGGGTGTTTCATATTATCAGAAACAGAGAAGGTGATTTGTTCACCCCCAGCCGACAAAATTAATTTCCCATCATTCACATCAATAAGCGCCTTGGCGGTGGCGAGAAAAGGTCTACCCAGTATTAAAGGCACATCCACATCCTCATTTATATCAAGAATCAAAAAATCAACAAGATATGAGAATGACCCTACTACGACTATCAAGTCCTCTACAATGGCCCTAGGATCCACAATGCATCTAACAACAAGTTGAATGCTCATCCTAGTATTACTGGGTTCACCTAGGCCTAGCTTTTTAAACAGTTTATATGGCATGACATTTATGCTAACGCTTAAATCTGCCAAGGACTTTCCTACATGCAAGCTACCAATCATGCAAGGGATAGTGAAACTCCCTAGGCCTTTGCGCTTCTCTGGAAGCTTGTTTTGCAGGATGGCAGAACATTCCTCATTGAGCATCACCGTCGACAGCTTCCCAAGCTTCCTCTTGTTGGTGAGGAGGTCCTTCATGAACTTATCATACTTGGGCATCTTCGATAACGCGTCCACGAAGGGCATAATGATGTTTACTTGCTTCAACATTGCCATGAACTTGGCAAACTCAGTCTCCAGGCGGTCTTTGTGCAACCGAGTAGGAAAGGGGAGTTGCGGTACATACTCCTTCACTACTGGTTGTGGCTTAGGAGTAGGCACCTCAACCTCCTTCTCCATTTCCTCTTCATTAGCTGGAAGTGCTGAAGCATGTGTCTCTCTCTCCCTTGTCATGCCTGGACAGGTGGGTCAGCAGTCACTTTGCCACTCCTAGTAGTAATGGCCTTGCAGTGCTCATTGGGGTCCTACGGATGAGGAATGGTCTGACCGAGTAAAGTACCAGGAGTCCTCTAGGCTACAGCTTGTGCCACACTCCCAAGCTGGGTCTGGATATCCCACAATACAACCTACGTGTTTCTCTGGCCTGCCTTGAGCTCCATCAATTTACCGGAGGCTTTCTCCAAGAACTGCTCGATATTACTGAACTTATTTGCACTGGAAGTGGCTAGAGAACCCACCAGATTGCGCAAATCGGCCATCGGATCACTCTATACTGGGGCTGCGGGGGCTGCACCTGACGGCTGAAATGGCCGCATCTGTGACTAAGGAGGAACTAGCCCCTATCTGGGCGGGTAAAGTGGTTGTTGCTGCTGGAATTTCCCTTGTCTGGGTTGTTAAGAAGGGCTCTGGAAGCCTGGAGGTCCCTGGGAGATTGGTGGTGTAGGATTGGTCCCACCCAGGAGAAGTTGGGATGTTGGTGCCACCCCTTGTTGTAAGTGTTGCTGTAGGGGTCGAAACGCCTGGCATTGCCGATGAAGTCCACCTGCTCCTAGGGAGTAGTCAACTCCCTCATCGCCTGACAATCTTCCACAGTGTGATGGGAGCTTTCGCACCACTCGCAATGGGAAGGAATGTGGAGGCCACAGTGAAGGAATGTCGTGGGAGGAATGTGAAGGAATGTGATGGGAGCTTTCGCACCACAGTGTGATGGGAGCTTTCGCACCAAAAACTTGACACGCTAAAACACAACACCAAACTGCGACCAAGTGTAATCGCAGTCCAGAAATGCACAATAGTGGCAAGTTCTATTTATCAACCCAGGGTCTAGATCTACTGCCTACTTCGTGATTATTTATTATCTAGCAGACTAAGTTGAGTGATTGTGGTTTTAAGCAAAAGCAGTAAGAAAGCAGGAAATGGTTCGAAGTTCTTAAGCAGGGGAAGAGTCACTCGGGAATGAGTCCCCCTAGCTCCTTAGTTAGGTCAAAGTTGTAATTACCCTTGGTTGATTTACTGTTGATTAAACTATTGATTAAACTGCGGAAGATCTGACAGTAGCTTGGAATCTCTTAAGCTAACCATGCCCTTTCAGACAGACTAATCGGCAGGCGACTAGCCTTCACCAGGATAGACTGGTGAGGCAATAAACACAGAAATCCACTACTGGAATTGGTTTTCAGTACAAAGCAGTAAATCGATTAACTCTCGTATAACCAATCTACTATTACCGATTGATGGAGCTCTAACAACCTAATCAGATTCTATCTATCTCAGGTTGCGGCATAAATCAAGAAAAGATGATCAAGCTTCAATTGACTCAATGAATCATGCATCAATAGATTAAAATCGATCAGTATATCAATACAAATTCATTACAATCAAGATTCTTAACACATGGAACTAAGCTTCTTCATACCCAAGTGAGAGAGGGCTTTACTCCATAGAGAGAGAGAGAGAGAGAGAGATAGAGGAAAATAGAAATAAGAGCAATTATACTCATAAAGATGAGGATAATCTACTCTGGGATGTCGATCTTCACTCCTAGGGATGCAATTTGAGCTTCAATGGTGAGAAATCCGCTCCAAATAGCTCCTAGGGTTTGTTCTTCGCGCTTTCTCTCTCTTCGCGCTTTCTCTCTCTAAAACTTTGTTTTCTGCTCAAAAAGTCGTGTGTTTTCTCCTTTGGCTCAAATCTGCCTAAAAAACCAGCTTATGGGCAAAACACGGTCGAGGACAGGGTTGTGCTTTGCTTCTGCCCGCCTGTGTTTTGCCTCAAGTAAGGCAGACATGCATGTGTCTCCTTCAAAACACAGTGTGCAAATACGGTCAGGAACAAGGGTGCCAACATGTGCAAATACGACGCTATCACAAATCCTAAGCAAATCGAGGTCGTCCTCAACCTGAAACCGCCTAAGACAATCAAAGTGATCCAAGCGTTCAACGGAAAAATGGCCGCGCTCGGGAAGTTCATCTCGCGGTCCGTCGATAAGTGCTCTCCTTTCTTCCAGATGCTAAAAAATTCGGCATCCAGGCTCCAGTGGGGCGCCGAATGTGAAAAGGCCTTCGCGTTACTTACTAGCCAACTCAGCTCCGCCCTGTCTTGAGCGCCCCCATCCCCGGGGAGCGCCTCTACCTCTACCTAGTCGTATCCGAACAGGCCGTGAGCTCAGCCTAGTAAGAAGGGAGCAAGACGACACTGATAGACCCGTCTATTATGTAAGCAAGGCGCTCCTCCCTGCCGAAACAAGGTACATGCCGGTTGAGAAGGCGATTCTCACTGTGGCTTCCGCAGCCAGGAAGTTAAGGCCTTATTTCCGGGGACTCCCAATCACAGTGCTATCCAATCTCCTGCTTAAGATTGTCATGCCAGGGATGGACGCCTCCGGGAAGCTGACCAAGTGGGCGATCGAGCTTAGCGAGTACGACATTGAATACGCCCCCAAGACCAGCTATCAAGGGTCGGGTCCTGGAAGATTTCATTGTCGAGGGATTCGCCCTCGCGGCCACTCCCTCGGAGAAGCGCAACCAGGTCTGGAGCCTATTTATCGATGGAGCAGCGAGAAAAACCGCCTCAGGGGCAGGAATAGTGATAGAATCCCCCGACGGAGTTGTCCATGAAATCTCGTTGAGATTCAAGGACATCAAGACCAACAACGTCGCGGAATATGAAGCCCTCATCAATACAAGGTTAGAAGCGCCCTCGCACAACTAAGCTCCTGGAAGCTTAAACATGTCCTACGAGACGACAATCAACACGCCGATGCGCTATCCAAGCTTGCAATCGCCATGGATTTCGAAGAAGATCGACATGTCACCGTCACGAAGGAGGGCGACCTTGCCGATGAAGTCCTGAGCATCGGCGACGCCTCATATTGGAGAACCCCTCTATTCGAGTATTTGGAGCACGACATCGTTCCACAACACCCAAGCGAATGGAAGGCTCTCAAATGCAAGGCGGCCAGGTACACCATAGTAGACGACCATTTATGCAAAAGTTCATTCTCTGGGACATTTCTGAAGTGCCTCGGCCCAAAAGAAGCAAGGTGGACACTAAGAGCGATACATGAAGGGACGTGCACGACGTACGTCGGTCCTAGATCGCTTGAAAGGACAATCCTCCTACAGGGCTATTATTGGCCAACGATCAAGAAAGACGCATCAGACGTCATCCAGAAGTGTCACGCCTGCCAATTACGCGCCTCCAAGCACCATCTCCCCAGCACTGAGATCCAAAGCGTGGTTGGAACGTGGACGTTCGCTAGGTGGGGGCTCGACCTGTTGGGACCTTTTCCCACCACCCCACTTGGAAAGAAGAATCTAGTGGTTTTTGTCGACTATTTCACGAAGTGGATCGAGGCAGAGCAGCTATAGACAATCACGAGCATGAGGGTGCAAAAGTCTGTGTTCAAAAATATCATGATTCGCTTTGGCATCCCGCAGTCAATCGTCACCGATCATGGCACGCAATTCGACTGTAGGCCGTTCGAGAATTTTTGTGCAAGAAACCGCATCACATGCACCATGGCATCAGTGGCGTACCCTCAGACCAACGGCCAAGCCGAAGCGTCCAACAAATTGATCCTCCAAGGGTTGAAGAAATGTCTCCAGGACGCGAAAGGTGCTTTGACGACAGAGCTCCCACATATCTTATGGGCACATCGCACGACCCACAAGACAGCCATGGGCGAAACCCCCTTTGCTCTAACATACGGTTCTGAGGCAGTCGCCCCAGAGCAGCTGAACCTACCATCGCTTCGTTTCCAAACATATGATCCATAAGCCTATCACAAGAAGCTACTGGAACAATTGGACATGGTAGAAGCAAGACGCGATGCGGCTCTAGAACGCATCGTAAGTGAGAAAGCGAAGGTGGCCTCCTCCTACAACAAAAGAGTGAGACAGCGAATCCACGAGGAATAAGACATGGTACTTAAGCGTGATTTTCAGAAGAAAGACGAGCACGACAAGCTCGCGGCAAATTGGAAAGGCCCATTCCTCATCGACGAAAAAACAGGTCCTAACACCTTTCGCCTCGCAACCATGGAAGGAACCCTAGTCTCCAAAACGTGGAATGACGTGTACCTGAGGAAGTACTACTCGGACGCGGTCTAGAGTACACCAGGTCTAAGCAAGGTTATTTTGGTGGCTAGGGTAGTCCACCCGCCACTTGTAAGAGTGTATTGGTCGCTACTAAGCTGCCACTTTTGCCCAAGTAATACACTCATATTATGAGCCAAAATTTTGGGTTATCACATGTCTGATATTCTTTTTTGCTAAGACCGGATAGATCATAAAAGAACGGGGAACTCGTGCAACACCCCGCAAGAACGTCTTCCAATAAAACAAAATTAAACCGCCTCATGACAAGGCAATCACAACCAAGGGGCATCCTCTGGGTACGCGATCATCGGACGCATTAAGCAAGCACCCTTTCTCCTTGGTGAATGCAAAACCTAGCAAAGGCAAAAACCTCAATGGTGTTACTAGCCTCACAAGAAGATATTCGTCACTAACATAAACGAAGTCACCCTCGCCAATCACGGAAACAAAGAAAATGACTAAGGAAAAGCAACACGGAATTTAGAATAGCATAAGACCCACTATCACCGAATAAGTGGGCGGCACATGAAAAAGTAAGGGACGCCCAACGTCCCAAAAATAAATTACAAAGTCGAAATACTACAAGTCTCTAGCGGAACGCTAGCTCAAAAAGTCAAGACACTGAAATTGTTTGTCTTCCAATAAAGGAACGCCAGACGGTCATCACAAAATACAGGGGCAAAGAGGAACAATCGAGGGCGACCTCAGACGCTCTGCAACCTCTCGCTCCCATTACCACCGTCCTCCACATCACATCCTTCTTCATCTTCCCCATCATCAGCCTCCGAATTTACATCGGCATCAGTCCAATCACCAATCGCATCCCAAACCAAGTTCGTGTCCCAAACCACCTCAGGTTGCTCCTGAAGGAACAAGTGAAGAATAGCGGCCACAACATCTCCGACGATCTTCTGATACTTCTCTCTATCGAGGGCTTGGAACTCTGCATACCTCAAGTAAGCGGGACCTGCCTCGGCTCGAGCAGCGGCCAAGTCTGACTCGCGGTTCTCTAATAGAGAGGTCTTGTCGAGCTTCAGGGCAGCTACCTCCTCGCGGAGTGACTCCTGCTCCTCTAACAAAGTCTTCTCAATCTCCTTAGATTGCTGAAGCTTCGTTTGAAGCCTATCTTGCTCTTCCACGGCCGTCCTATGGGCTTCCTTCTCTGCCATCAACTCCTCCCTTTGCTTGGCTAAATTCTCCTCAAAACCGCGTTCCAACTCTGGACGCACTTCCTCCATCAGCGGGGCACGTCCTTTAGCCACGCTCTTCTTCAGCTTAGCAATCTCCATGATGATCTAAGAAAATCCAATATGCGCATGAAAAGGAAAGCAAATGTCAATGTACAACTCACCAGGAGAACCAAACGCGAGTTACACAAAACACTAACCGAAAAGAAGAACTAAGAAGCGATCCCAGCAAGCCGCCTGTTGCATCCTTGAGAAGAAGAAGTGTACTCTGAAGGCATGACCAACCGGTCGCTCACGGTATGGAAGGCCAGCTCAGTGGCCTCGGTTGTGGCGGCGACCAGAGGAGACACCTCCACAGGGTGTGGTTGATCAGACTGTTGCGCGGTCCTGCCGCGATGCCCCCCGCCTTGGAAAGAGATGCTCTTGTCTTAGTATGCTTGGCAATCGTGAGAGGAACGTTCGGCTCCTGAGGCCTCTTCCCCACACCCCGCGTCAAGGGGATGGACGCAGCGGTCACCGTTGCAGGAATATTGGCGGCCAGTGATGAAGCAACTGCGGGAACAGATTTCCCCGCGACTGCCGCTGAAGAGGACTCAACACCAGTCTTCACAACCTTCACCACCCTCTTCTTCGTCTTCGGCCGGTTAGCATCGGCAAGCTCCCTCAAACCTGGAAAAAGACGCATAATTAAAACGACACGAGAAAGGGAAGAACATAAACAGTTAGACAAATTTCTACTAACCATAAAACCATGAACATGCTCGTATGCACTCTCAGGACCGTTGTGTTGCACACGCAGCTGAAAACCCTCTACAATGCGGGTCACATGGTCTTTCACAGACTGTGGGAACTGGCCGAAGGCGCACCAAGCATCCTTGGAGCCAACTGCATAGCCCGTGAGCGACTCTGACTCCCCCGCATACCACTTCCAAGATGGACGCGCGAAGAAGTATTCCTTATACCAGGGTGAATCCAACTTGGGTGCCCCAGTGACAAACCCCACGGAGTTCTCCCGCCTCCCAATTGACCAACAGTTGGTCGAATCACGAATATTGTAGATCAGGCGAAAGGCGTCAAAAGAAGGCTCTTCATTGAGGCGGTCACACGCCAGCCAGTACATCACCGAATGAAAAATGATGGTAGGCGACAAGCGCCCCAGGGTGTAACCAAGCCAGTGCAGAACCTTAGTCAAAATAGGGTCAAGAGGGAACCGCTATCCCAACTTCATCTGTTCAACATGAATAGGAATCCAGCCAACCAGACAAGACCCGGAGCGGCTCACCTCTGAAGGGGTCGCATAATGCCAATTAGGAGGAAGGTTAAGCAACTTCAAGCGGTAAAGTACCTGCTCGGGCTTAAAGAACGCTTCATGGTCTGGCCCTAGTCCAAACACGTCATGTGGGACAGACTGGCCGCCCCACATCACCTCGTGGCGCAGAACCGTGTAAACAGAGTCCTTGATCGCGAGTGAAAGCGGTCCCACACCCTCTAACTCCACTATTTCTAAAGAAGAAGAAGTACTCGGGAGCGCCTCCGAGCGCACACCCTCACTGTCAACCGCCTCATCTTCATCCAATGAAATACTATCTAATTCTACCAGCTCAAAATCACCCATGTTGTCCCCAACCACAGATGAAGTAGCCATAACCCCAGCTGGGACAGGGCGGATGTTAACAAAAGAGTTATCTAAGTCTAAAGTGATTCCGACAAGACAATCGTGCAATTCTGAATCACTCCCAATGTACAATTCTAGCTCGGATAAATCCCACACGCACTTAGAGGCGGTTCGAGTGGGAGAAGAGTGGGTCATACCTTGTGAAATAGGAGCGATCCCTCCAGAGGGCCCCACATTCTTCTTAGCGGGAGCAGGCGACGATGGCGGCATTATCGAGGCGGTTGGGTTCTTCTCTGGAACCACCTCCGAAGCGAGGTTGACGATGGATACCTCGCCCGTGACGGCGACGAAATCGCTCCCCGCGGCGACAGATGGTGTTCGATCTTCACTCGACATCTACCAACGAGCATAGAGGAGGCGAACGCCGGATTCGTCATGAACACCCCAACAAACCACGAAAGTGTCACGCGGCGGAATCGATCGCACGAAATACAAAACGACGCAAAAGGTAAGAAGAAGGAAGAAGAAGCATGAGCGCAACACGAGCAAAGCGAAGAGGCTTACCTGGAATCAATCGGGTTTTATAAAGCTCGACGGCGCAGGAGACTCGAAGTCTGTCGTAGAAGAAGAGAGGAAGAGGACGAGTTGTTTTCCCAAAGAAGAAGCAAAAATGGCGGAAAAAGCTCCCCCCACGCACATTTAAAGTAAAGTTTGGGTTTCAAACCCACAAGGGTGACGTTTCGCCTGACCATGTCAGGGCACTACAATCGATGCACGCCACATGGCATCCGCAAAACCGAGGGAGTGGACGCACGCGTCTTAGACCGCCCCTCAGGCGATCCCGCTTCATGCCCTCATGGCCAGGGGCAGGCAGGTAATCATGGGTAAGGCGACCCCTAACCGCTTAATGATAATAAGACAATCGTTAGCCGCAAAAACCTAAAGCCTCTCACGCCTAAGGGGCAAATGTTGGGCTAACCATTAAGACATATGGGCCCCTAAGCCCATGATCACTAAAAGCCCATAACGCAAGCAAACCCGGCCCAGAAAGCTTGGGGCGGTCTTTATTTACAAGACTGAAGACCGCCCGACAGGTTAGTAACGGAATCATGACAGGGCGCCCGACAGTGAGCATGTACGGCGCCTTGACAAACCCAGTACGGATACTGACCAAAGTACAATCCTGACTATGCATTTAATAAAGGCTGGAGGCGTCCCTAGGACGCCCGACAGAGCATTAGTTGTCCTCACTAGTATAAATACCCATCAATGGATCACATTATGGTAACTTCCAACTACTACATTCTCTCTCTTATTTACTATTCTCTCAATTCTCTCTCTAACTTAGGCATCGCTGGAGGTCCCAGGATCCCACTGAGGACCTTTCTTGCAGGGGTTCAAAGACCGTCTTCGACCATCGAAGCCGCCCGAGGCCGTGGGGACTCACAAAACCGCTTGGTACGATCCAAGCACAAACATCACCCTTGTGTTTGGAAGCTCCATTTACACCATTTGATCTTAGATGAGGTTCCACATGAGTTATTTGTGTATGGTTTTGCTAAGAATGTGAAGTGAGTATGGAGGTAGGTCTTGAAAGTGAGCATTGTTCCATAAGTTAAAGAAATGTGGCATGTGTATATAGCTCTCTATAGCCCCCAAAGAAAAGAGAATAGAAAAGCTAAAAGAAAAAAGAGATCAATAAGAGGGCAAAGAAGAAAAGAGAGTGACCGCCAAAAATATAATAAATGTTGAACATGCTCTTAGAAGTGTTGCTTAGCATGCAAACTTTGGGAACACTTACATGTTGTTTGCCTACCACACTCTTGTGCTTGAAATTGACTAGCAAATGTAAAAGAAAGTATGTGTAACTTGGTTTGGTGATTGGTTGTGTTATGGAATTGAGGAAATGCATTTTTTGGCCGATTCTAGTGGCCATTGAGTATAGGAGAGGGTTCTAATAAAAAATTAGAACCCTTTTGAAATTTTAGGTCGAAGATTTGGAACCTCAGGTTATGTTTGCCACCACTCAAAAATCCTTTTCCCCATGTCTTAGACCCTAGCCAGTCATTTGAACTTGTGTCTAAGACCTCCGGACAAGCTAGCAACGACACCCATATTTTGAGCTCTAGCATTTAGAGGCTACCATCATGGTAAAGGGACGTTAGGATTGAGCGTGAATATGCACATCTTTTGCATCATATGGTCCTGACCACACTGGTCGAGAGTGTGTGATTCATTCATAATGTTTTGTTCATTTCTTATACCCCGGTGAGGACCTAGGTTTGATGCGACCCCGCTCACCCCGCATGACGTCACTCAAGCTCAAACTAGATACCTACATGGACCATGGTTCAAGAGACGATTTAAGAGGTTTAAAGAGAGCTTGAAAGCATTCAAGGTGGAAGAAAAGGTCTTTGCAAGCAAGGCCTACGAGTTTGTTGATGTGAAATCAATTTGCAGAATATATAATTCTCGTGGTCCAAAGATGAAGGTCCGAGTACGACGATACAAGGATCAAATGGGATCATTCTTGATGGACGTGGACTTGCTAGAAGGAAAGTCCATCACGTTGCTATGATTTATGGACTAGAATGAAGAGAAGATGGGCTTGGTAGAAGGAAGGAAGATCTCCCATGGTGTTAACACAAGGTGTGAAAAGGAGTACAAGTGTGAAAGGAATATCAGGTATGAACACAAGCCATGTGAGGGAGGATTGCAAGGCTAGAATCTAGGGAGTTGTTGACCAAGTCTTTTACTTGTCTTTTAAGGATTGTGTTTTCCTTTTACTTGTCTTTTAAGGATTGTGTTTTTCCTTTTACTTGTAGGACTTGTTTTTCATTTTAAGCTTTGGATTTGTGTTAGCTAGTCTATAAATAAGAGGCTGAGTTCCTCATTGTAACTCATTCAATTATCAATCAACTTTCAAGTTACAAGTTCATACGAACTAGTTCTTTGTGCAAGCTTCTGTTGAGAGTGCTCCAGGAGTTTCACGTGTCTCTTATCAACTAGAGAACACGTCTAGTTGTGGCGAGCTTCTACCCAATAGCGATTGGCCTTATTCACGAGTGGGTGATTGTTTGATTGGTTTCATATACCAATTGGCCTTTCACACAAGTTGGAATCTGTTTGATCGTGTTCCATCATTATCTTTTGTTCGAGTTCTTGTTCGTTGGAGAAAAGCTTCGAAAACCCATAAAAAGTAGGAAAGTTGCGTACTTTGGTCATATAATCCGAGTTCGAGGATTCTCTTCGATTTTGGATCACATCAAGTGGTATAGGAGCCTGGTTCAAACGCAGCGGAGAAGAAGAAGGTTCTTTGGCAATCTTGTCGTGTTCTTGAAGGTTTTGACGTGATCGTGAAGGATCTTAGAGGTGTCTTTACGTTCTTGAAGGTTCTTGCGAGCTATCTTGAAGGAGTAATTAGTGCCGCAAATATGGGAGACGAGATCAAGGCATTGACTGATCATATCCAAGCGTTACTTCAAGC